AATAAAACAGGTGATTTAAGCGGGGGGTGTTAAAACTTTTGCATTTGACTGTATGTAAATTATTTGGTTTTCATGACATCATAAAAAACAATGGATTCAAAACAGCGTGTTTTTGTCCATATCTGGAATGAATGGATTGACGAGTGAACTGTATGTTTTGAAACTTTGAAACAATGTTTACACTGTACATCATCGTCTTGTAGTTAAAAAAATATTTAGTTTTACATGAAATGGGCCTATTAAACAACACAGGCTTTCAAATAACACATGCACTATAGGATATAAAGGGTACATTTACCAAGTTCTCTCTTAGAAAACTAGTGCTAGACAGGCCACGACACAGTTTCGGCAGCTCCTGATTAGGGCTTTAAAGCAGTCCAACAATCTTGTGAGTTATAGCATGACCTTACAATTTAGCAGGCACACATGGGGGAGATTCGTTGCCACTAGAGGAGAAAAACTGCTTAAAGAAGGCACTTATGAAGAGATAAAACCTAAAAACCAGGCAGTTAATTTTGAGGAGAAAAGCAAGCATCAACACATACATAATGAAAACGGTTCTAATGCAGACTCTTGTCCCTATGCGCTGAACATCGGCACCGCTACAAAGCTTTTAATCCTGCCGGTGAGAACAGAAGGATTAGCCACAGAGCAGAGCTATGCAGAACCAGCAAAAAGAGAGCCTGCACACACACCGCACACCTGACTGAACCTGGCCACACGCACAACTTAATACACATCATAATAATTAAATTTTCATCTAAATCTAATCTCACTCTAATCTTCACATTTCTTGTCTTCTGTTGGCCACTTTTAAAATAATCCAATTAAAGCTGAAAACTCTGGAAACTGATAACTCTGCCTGTGACGGAGAGGCTTACAGTTACACACTGTAACCCAGTGGAGGAGAATATGCTGTGGAAGGCCAACAGGGAGAAACAATATTTATGTTTACCATTTTTCCCCACAGATGGTGATGCTCTATTATTGGAGTGACTGCTACTGTGTAGTTGTGGCAGCTATTGTGTGGTAATGAAAACATTATTGATTACTGTCGTTCCCCTGCTACACGAAGACCCCCGGACAATGTCAAAACAGTTCCCCAGCCCAGCTGTAGCTAATCCCACGGCTGTTAGTTGGTTTGAGCCTTCAGGCTACAGACAGAACATGCCTCTGTTTCAGTCAATAAGGGCAGAAAAATTAGATCATTCTTTTTTCCCTCAGTGAAAAAAAGTTGCCAGAGGTTGACACTGAATTCTCTGCTTTCTCAGTCACGGAGTTGTTGTAAGATAACATGTGGGGAGGGAGTTTTGAAACAGCCTGATGCTGGAACATCCCTTCATTCCTGTTGCATGAAATGTATTCTCTATAGCCCATATTAATAATTGAGGGCTTCCAAATCAAACAACAAAGGGTGATGAGTTGTCTGCTCTCTGTCTAACGACAGTGGCACAACAACTGTTGGGTTTCTGTGTCTGTTTCATCAAAATGAGTAAAATTCCCTTTGATACAGAACAACAAATGAAAATCAATTGAAGAATTAATGTGACCGTAAATAACCGCATTGTAAGTTTGTAATCAGCATATTGGTTGTTGGTGGCTCTTCTTCTGGGCGTTATTGAGTTGCTGGGTGCTATTGAGCTCCCACAGCATACACAGGTCCATGACAGCAGTCCTGTACATTCCCTTGATTCTTTTTTGTTGTCCTGGAAATTCACTGGCAGAAGAAACAGGCTGTAATTAGCCTAGGGTGATTCAAGTGTGCTTGAAAAGATTATGCAGGATATATTCACCTTCTATTATGCACATTGCTGATAAACCACAGTATAGTGTGGTAATGGAAAAATCTCTAAAACCTTCAGCTTGAGTTAAAGATACCAATTACTCACATAAAAGTTAAAATTATGCTGCAGAATTACAAGGTAAAGCCACTACATTAAAAGGCCCACTATATATAAAAGGCCAGCTCATTTAAATGAAAATATGTTATTTTGGTTAATTTAGCAATGGCAGACTTACAGATTGCCCAACGTGAACGACTTGGGGAGACTTATTCATGCCTTCAGGAGACTACAATTTATAATGTTGCATTTTAAACTGCTGCATTTTTATTCACCATCAGCAGGGATGATGGTTAGCTCTTTTGTTACTTCACATATTCATGAGGCATAGCAGACCTGTCTCTGTTGCTTCAAAGATCAGCAGCTTAATTCACCATTATAAACAGAGAGGCTGAAATAAATACGTGATTTGACTGGACTGCTGTGTGCGAGTGTCTTTTTTTTCTTTTTTTTTCCCCCAGCTAAACTAAAAGTCCCACAAACTAGAAAACCTTAGCAAAGTATAGGATTAAGTTAAATACAAAATTAATGTAGCCTAGGAAATCTTTCTTCTAAGATAAAATGTTCAAACATCTTCCTGCTGCATTCATTCTAGATTAGTGGCCACCAACCCTTCTCCTCAGTGGCGAAACATGACTACTATTAGAGCAAAGTCTTTGGTTTGGCTCATAAATGTCAAAACCTTGTTAAAACCAGAGGGAAAAACATTCCTACAATAATCCTAATTTCTGCTAGCACGCCTATGGGATTCTGGTAATATTTGAGCGCGGTGCTAATGGGGGTTCACAACATTTTTTGGATGTTTTAGATTACATATGGATATTTGAAGACATTCCAAGTTTATGTTTTATTTGAAGCTTAAACAGACATATTAATATAGATTTTACCTTGTAGCCATTTTAGAGATGCCCTGGCATAGAGCAGCCACTGTTTTCCATTACTAACATCTGATTGAAATGCATTGGTCAGGCTACCATTCGTACTCACAGTCAGTGATATATCTGGAACTTCCAGAAGGCTAAGAGTGAGGTTTTTGGTCTCACGCACTGTACATCAAAACATGACTGTGCCCACAATACCAGCTACTTCCTAGTAATAGTTAATGGTGGTTAATATGACACGTTAGTCCAGCTCATGAAGTCCTAACCAATGGGAGAGCTCATTTGGCTGTGTCCACTTAGATACTGTGCAATATGTGGAATAGATATGAAATCATACCTATTATGAGTCAGATAGTGGAATGTGTACAATCTTGGGACAATTATTGACTCAAAATTTAACTCTAAAGCAAACTGTGAAGCCGTGTTTAAAGAACAGAAATTCTCTGAATCAAATTGTTAAATGGTCTGGTAGGCTGACCAGTGAATCAAATTATTCTAGACTCTCTGTAAACCAGACACCAGTTAAAGCGGATATCTGATTCGATTTTAAATGATGACTCTCACCCTTTAAACACTGAATTTCAGCTTCTTCCCTCTGGGAGTAGGTTTATAATCCCAAAGTGCAGAGCAAAGTGATATAAAAACAGCTTTGTTTTAGCAGTTGTTATTCAGATAAACAGGCTGCAGTAACACTGAACAGAGGACTGGAACCTTCAGCATTTTTTATGTTTTTATGTTAATCACCAGTAATTTGTGTTGTTTGTAAAATGAGTATCAAGCTGGATGTTGACTCTACTGCAAACCAAATTTACCTCTGGGTACAAATAAAGTAAAATAACCTGAATTTGAACTTGTGGAGAAAACAAATCCTGCTTAAATAATTTCCTGTTGGCAATCAAAAATTATCAGTGCAGTGTTTAAATACAACACAAATAAAAATGAACTTAAAAAACGGACATTATTTTTTTTTAACATAAATCTTTGGGCTTTCTTTGAAGTTCTTCCCTGCTCCTCCTGGAGATCTACATTCCTGCAGGTTTTACCTCCAACCCAAATCTACTATGCCTAATTCAACTAATCAAGGACTTTGGAAGGCGATAACTCAACAGATCAGGTGGGATTGATTCAGGTTATGGGGTTTCATAAGAACAGTGATGCAACACAACAGAAAAGGAAGATACATGTTATCTAACACAACAGTGAGCAAACACAGAATGAATGACAGCATGTAACTACAGCAAACAATACACATGGCCAGTTTCTGTGTGCATTTCATCCGGACATACTATATGCAGAGGGTGTGTGACACTGCAATCATCACAGGTTAGTGCCACAAGGGGGGAAAAAACACCCCAGCTATTCTGAGCGCATACTAAATAGATATCTATCAGAAAGTCAGGCCTGTCCCACGGTTAATAATGTTGAGTAGCCGTGGATGTATCAAATCCCATTATCCGTTATGCTACGTGTGTTGATTCTTATCCCTTCCCTGGAGCTTAGAGAAATTGTCATTTACTCCATCACCTTGACACAGGGCTGGGTGAGGTCCTTTCACTCTGAGATTTTAGCGTGTTGTCAAACAACTGCTGAACCGTGTCCTCAGAGGTCTTGGCTGACTGATAGGATCCACTCACTCATGATTAAAGTGAATTAGGGGAAAATCGAGCCTGGCCCTTATGCGACAAGAGGACCAAGAGTCTACCCACGCACTTTTACAGTCTGGCGCGTCCAGGTAGATGCAAAAAAATAATAATAATAATAAATAAATAAATACCATAAAACACAAGTATTCTCCCATCAACATGAACAATTGTGGAGCCGAGTCCACAACCTGGCCCTGAGCACCAGAAATTTCTAGCATTCTTTAGCACTCTGTTATTGTGGGCACGATAAGAATGAGGGCTATGTATTCTCAAAGAAATCGACCCTGGGACGTCTAACTCTTAAATGGTATGATAAATTAATTCTATTAATTTTTTTGTGTTGTATTAAACCAGGCATTTTGAGGACTGTAGAACATGAGTAGGGACAATAATGAAAGGAACAAATTACATCTGAGGTATGGAGTTGGACAAATGCCTCCAAGATGGCTAAGAGTCTGATAAATGTCTCCAGAGGGAGAGGAGGGGAGAGCTAAAGGCTTGAGAGGGCATTGCTCAGGCAGGCAGAAGAGATGAATGCTTTTATTGTGGCCCATAACTGCTAGCGAAAAGGGTGGGAATTGGGCTGTGTTGATTTAAGGGGAAATTAGCATGTAAAAACGGGGAAAGACACTTACGGACACACAGGTCTCCACTCTCAAAATAGCCGGGGCAGCACTGGGAGCGGCGGCGGTACATGGTGCGCACCCCCCGCCGGTATGCTGTCTTGTAGCTGATTCTGGAATGGATACACACAGGTGAAAGAGAAAATCAGCAGTAAGCTGGCAGGTAAATTCCAGTGGAGCACATAAGGAGGAGTATAGCCGCTGGTTAGCATTAGCCTTGAACCACTTTTCTAAAGAACACCAGAGAGAGAAATAAACATAATTAAAATGAATTAAAGAAAAGTTTCAGCAGCGGGTGAAGGACGTCTCCCTTTGACGGGGAATATGGCGGGGCAGTGACTCATTGTGTGCGCCGCTTTTATCTGGGAATGTCAACGATAAAGTCTTTAATGTGGCCATTAAAACTGATGCAGTGTCTGATGACAGTCAAAGGGCCATTTCCATCTCGGCTCCGACCACTGCAATCACTGTCAGTTACATTAGCACAGTGCTATTAGACAGAGGCACACTCAGCACCCTTTCTGACTCGTAGCTTTTAATACTTCAAGCTGGGGGATGGGAGGGGGTTGTCAGGAGCTGTTAGGGTATACAGGATGGATGGTGGGGTCAGGAGGTCAAAAGCAAGGGACAACTCAGGATTAGTTTTTACCTGTGTCTGGTGCACTTGAACCAGTTGAGGATGTCCGTGCACCTGGTGTAGTAGATCTGGTCGAACGGATGAGCGTACGACTCCTGCACAGTCACTGCATAGCTAAGAGGAGAGCGTGGAGGAGAATGTAGAATCAAATTTCAGATTTTACTAATTATGCTTTCAATGCCTTTGTGCCAGACTAGTAAGACAAGTAAGAGGAGAAATGTTCTGAAATAGCAATAAACAGCTGAGAATTTGATCATTTTAAAATGGTATCATTTGACATAAAACATTAAGTTGCTGACTTTATACTTCATATTTGTACCATGGAGGTATTGACAAAATTCAATATCACAATATTTTCCAAATATGTCATGATATCAGTTTGCAACTGATATCAGTTTACAAAGTCAACTCTCAATTTCTGAATGTTGGTACATGATGCTAAAAGAATGAAAATCCAATAAACTTGCCATAGTTTTTTTTTTTGGCTGAACTGTTTTTTTCAGTTTTCTTTGAAATGACTTCATATATGGAATCATATCAGTATCGGAAGATTTTTAGATTTGGCAGATATTTCAAATGATATTTTACATTGTGAATAGTAGAATGTTTAAGTGTCGCTGGGCTACTGAGCTGAAATGTCTGCGTTTTATTCATTTTACCTTGTTTGTAACCTTCAAAAAATAAATGTTACATCTCTGTACATATCAGTGCAAACCTAGTTTTTATGGATCCTTGATGTCTATCATTACTATTAAAACTAAAAGTCAAGATTTTCATACCTATACACTGGTATAGACTATACATCATGCAGCACTACCTTACACATTCCATAATCACTGCACTTGTTACTAGTTCTTCCAAAAGGTGAAGCTGAAATCAGGCTAGCTTCACATCTTCATTCACAACACAACTTCAAATCCATAACAAATGTTCATCTTTACTAATCATTTTAATGTCATTTTGTTACACTGCAGCCAGCAAAGTGACACCAAACCCCCCCAAATATCCTCCTTCAGTAAGGCAAAGTGTAAGCTCATATATCCCTGCAGCGTTGTCTCCACCCCTCTGTGGAGGAAATCATTCCTGCTTATTTTTCATTACTGACACCCTCTTGCACAACTCATAATTATTCCGGCAATATGCTTGCAAAGATTGATTAGGACGAGAGTGCATTGATCAATTTAAGGCCTGTTTCATTTTTAGCAACTTATCCTCACTCACACACGCACACAAAATCTTCCTCTTTGTCGTTCCCTCCTCTGCCTCTCCGGGGACGGCTCAACTTAACAAGATCAATAATCTCCTCAGCATTTTCTGATTGTAACTGATCCCTAAAGGCTGGCAAGTGTCCCCAAATCAACACTCCCCAAATGCTGTCCTTCACATCCTGTCAACTGTCTCAAGATGTCAATACAGTCAGGAAAGTCGAAGGAGATCTTCTAAAACTCTCAGAAGCTGTGTGATGCTTGCCAACTCCAGAATATGTTCTAAATATGCAAGCTGTGTCAGTAACATGATATTCAAACCTACTTATATTCAGGTGCTCTGTATTTAAAGAGATCCTGATAAAGTTGTGGCCTTCTAAATGAAGGCATTTAAATATGAAAACGCTTTATCCCTATTGAATGGTCGTTTCAGATTCAGAAAGGGTGCTTTTGTAGTCTGAGGAATACTGCTGGGATTGATGGCAATAACACTGAAATAGTTCTCATCTCAGCATGGTACAGCATGTCTGAGACCTGCAGCTTCTAATATTCATGCTCTTCCCCTCTACGCAACCTCTGTTAGTAGAACCGTCACCCCAGAAACGTCACCCCGGTCTCAAATGCAGTCTATATACAGTTCTGTGCAAAACTCAGAGACTATATTTCATAGAATTTACAGTCAAAGTGGTCATTAAGTACAAGTTACTAATTTTTCATAAAAAAGGCAGAAACATATATTTAACAGGAAATTACACAGAAGTCTCAAACAACTGAACATAATGTCATTTTTTCTATTACATATGTGTCCACACCTTGCCTTTATTACAGCTTCCATTCTTTTCAGCAGACTTGCTTTCAGTTTTTCGAAGAAATTTGCAAGTCTAAATGAGTAATGCAAGTAAGTGTGGTGTTATTTAACACTACACTTTTAGAGTGTAGATGTTCTCTAGATACTTTAATAATTTGTTAAACTCCAGTTTTGGAAAACACCTGCTTTTTCCCCTTTTTTATATGCAGATGGATTATCTTATGTCTATTCTTTACAGAAATATTTCCTGAAAAATGAAAATATCGTACTTACTAGCGTAGTGGAAATTACATAAATGAAGGGTGGTCTCTGACTTTTGCACAGCACTGCATTTATCATTAAAGATCCCTTTTAGGCTTGTCTTGACACTTTATTACAGTAGAACCATTGCTCAACAATGTACAATCATAAAGTGTCCCTACACAAAGAGGCTAAAGAACCCCACAACTGGATTTTTTTTTAATCATTAATTAAGTGCATATATAGTAACAGATCTATTTAAGACTCAAGAAGAACTCTATTTCCACACATTACTTCAGGGCCTTGATGCAACAACAAAACAAGGCAGGGGCTGTGTACACAGTAGTCAGAGCTGCATACACTACAAGTAAACAAGAATGCAAAATGAGAAGACTGTAGAGAAGCAGACACGTACTGTAATTAGACAAGATGCATATTAATAATAAACACTACTGCAATTGTAGACACAATAAACAATACATACAGAACAATAAAGGGAATACAATATTAATGTGCAGTATCACTAAACAGTATAAAGAGTGTAAAGTGCATAAGGCAGAGCGAAGTATTAGGGTGTGAATTGAGTATATAAGTAAATTATAAGAGAGTGAACACTAACAGGAAAGTATATTGCATGTGACAGATACATAACAGCATAATCCCAACAACATGAAATCTCTGAGTGGGAACTGCAGAGAGTCCAAATGAAAGATGCGATTAAGTATCTAGGGAGGCTAGAAAGCAGCTAGAGAAGTGGTCTTAAAGGCCCAGGTCAGGACTTCCTCAAAGACAAGCATAAACACTGCAAAGTCTAGCTAGAATCCATAGGTAGCTTCCTCTCCCCAGTGTCCATCACCACCTTTTTGTGCACACTGGAGGAGTATCCAGCCAGGAAAGCACGAGCCATAAGTTCTCGGGAGCTTACAAAACTGAATAAGGGAAATGGTAGACCCAGTATCCACTTAAAGCAGGGTGTGGAGGGACTGGTTCTTGCAAAGTTTAGTGATCTTTCTGCAAAAACACAGCTGATTCATCAGTTAATGTGCCGATATTTAGTTGGCGTGTTAGAGCAGGTAAAACACTAAACTGTTCTGGACTTACCCATGCACCAAGGCCCAGAAATTGTGACCTTCAAGGCTGCAGTCCACAAACAGCTCCAGGCAGAGATGGGTAGTAAGTAGTCTTATTTCCATGTACATAAGTGCATTTTTGATGTATTTGATCATTTTCTTAGTATTTGATGATAATTTTAGTTAGACTCAAGTATATTAACAAAGAAAAGACTACACTCTTTTACTTGTTACATTTTAGTTATGAATTGCTGTTTTGTGTTTAGTTTTATTATGCTATATAATTCACCTCTGACTTACGACGTTTATCGTTTTATTTTAGAATAAAACTGAACACATTCAGTTCCTCTGCTAAAACGTATTGGGTAGACTAAGAAGCTCCACTGCAGTTATATAAGGAGCTCAGTGCTTAAGTATTTTTCTGGCCTGAAATTTATGTCATCCTGCTCAAGTTACTTTTTTCTGGAAAACGTATTTATACTTGAGTCATTATGTCACCAAAGCAAGAATAGTTCTTTTACTTTACTATGAGCTTAGGCTGCTCCACCCTGGCTCTTCCTGGCTCTTCTTCACAGGCAGTCAAGGTTCTTGACCAGGGCTGCCACTAGGCTGGCCAAGGTTGGGCTGATTGGGCCTTGCAGGCCACCACCTTGTCATCATCATTAGTGCTGTCACTTACATTGGCCTGGCATACACAGTGCTGGAGAGTGGCTGGTAGTGTTGTGTGGTGTCAAACATATGGCTCGCGCCAGGTCACTCTAGGCAGTGGAATCAAACAGATGTGTTGTGCATATTAGTAAAGGTCAGCAGTGAATGCACCCAGGCTTTCTCCTTCTTGGCAATGGCAACTAGCTTGCTGTTCCCTCATGTAGTCATTGCCCCTAAGCGCCCCTCTAGGGCTGCAAACAGGCACATGTAAATTTGTTAACAATATTTGACAGCATCAAAAGTTGATATATAAGGTGTAAATACATATATGCAAGAAGGAGAGATAAAGATATCTGTGCAAGCACCGTGTCAAAAAAGCTTCTTTTGCTTTAAAAAGGTTTACAAATGCACAGCTATAGCCTACAAAGTACTACTTGGAAGACCTCAATGACACCTCTTATGATGTGAACCTAATTATATTTTAAGTTGCAATTGCATGCTAGGGGAAAGTGTGAAATGTGTTAAAACAGATAACAATATGACACAAAGTGCCAGATTCATGCTACTCCACACAACATGTGTGGCACTGTAAAGTCTTATTCATAAAGTCACTGTACGGGTGATTAGTGCACTGGTCTCTTCTCACCATTTTGGCATTGCTATGTTTGTCCTATCAAAATCAAAATGTCAACAAAGACCAACAGGTAGGCCTTTTGGGTGCCAAAATGGACATGCTACATAACAGTAACCCAATAATCTCAGAATCAGAACTACAGATGTTAAGAAGGAAAGTATAAGTACGATTTGATAAAAATGCAGAACAGAAAGTCATCTGATAGGCGACTGCAAAACATATCAACGCAGAATCAAATGTAACTAGAACTTTAATCCACTGACAGAAACAAAAAGAAAAAACATTGCAGAGCTGCTGCTGGAGGAGTGTGAGTTTGTACAGAAACAGTAGTAGTCTATTCTGTTTAAAGTTTCATACCAAAAAACAAATAACTAATGTTCACTGGACTGAACCCCACAACAATGCTACATACAGTTCAGAAGTCTTGATTAAAACAAGTGCAGTTTAATTAACTTAGTCTTGATTTGAGTTCAAATTCTAACTGCTTTGGAGATTTTGGCTGGCCTATA